CAAAGAAAGGCCCATGCCCAGATAGCTTCACTGACAAATTCTACCAAACATTTAAAGGAGAATTAATACCAATTCTTCACAAACTCCTCTAAGAAATGGAAGAGAAGGGAACACTTTCCACCTCATTCTATGAGGCCAGTATTACCCTGATATGAAAACCAGACAAAGACATCACAAGAAAAGAAAACTATAGACCAATATCTCTTATGAATATAGGTGCAAAAATCCTAAACAAAATACTAGCAAACTGAATCCAGCAACATATAAAAAGGATTATAAACCACAACCAAGTGGGATTTATCCCAGGGATGCAAAGTTGGCTTAACATCTGAAATTCAATTAACATACACCATACCATAGAACAAAGGACAAAAACTATGTGATCCTCTCAATACGTGCAGACAAAACATTTGACAAAATTGAAAACTACTTCTTAATAAAAAACAATCAATAAACCAGGAATAGGAATGAACTTCTTCAACCTGATAGAGTATCTACAATGCTTTCCCCCTAAGATTAGGAACAAGACAAGGATGTCTACCCTCGCATTTCTATTCAACATTATAACAGAGGACAGCCAGGATAATTAGGCAAAAAAATGAAATAAAAGACATAGAATAGAAAGGAAGAAGTAAAACTATCTCTATTTGCAGATGACAAGATTTGTAAATAGAAAATCCTAAGGAATCCATTAAAAATTTATTAGAGCTAATAAATGAGTTCAGCAAGTTTTCAAGATACAAGATCAACACATAAAAATCAATTGTTTTTCTATACACTTGCAATGAACAATACAAAAATGAAATTAAGAAAACAATTCTATCTACTATAGCATCAAAAAGAATAAAATATTTAGGCTAAATTTTTTTAAAAAAATTTTGTGTGTGTATGTGTGTGAGGAAGATTGGCCCTGAGCTAACACTCGTTGCCAATCCTCCTCTTTTTGCTTGAGGAAGATTGTCCCTGAGCTAACATCTATGCCAACTTCCTCCATTTTTGTATGTCAGTCACGGCCACGGCATGGCTTGATGAGTGGTGTAGGTCCATGCCTGGGATCCAAACCCGTGAACCCCAGGCCATGAAGCGGAGCTCGTGAACTCAACCACTACGCCACCAGGCCGTCCCCTATTTAGGCTAAATTTAACCAAAGAAATATAAAACAAACTCTGAACACTACAAAACACTGTTGAAAGAAATTAAAGAAGACCTAAATAAATGGAAAGACATCCCATGTCCATGGATCAGATGATTTAACTGTTAAGATGGCAATCTCCCCAAATTGATCTAGGTTCAATGCAATCTCCATCAATACTCCAGCTGGCTTCTTTTGAGAAATTGACAAATTGATCCTAAAATTCATATGGAAATGTAAGGGACCCAGAAAACCAAAATAGTCTTGAAAAAGAGAAAAAAGTTGAAGGACTCACACTCCCAATTTCAAAACTTTCTACAAAAGCTATAGTAATCAAGACAGTGTGGTACTGGCATAAAGCTAGACACACAGATCAATGGAACAGAACTAACAGTCCGGAAATAATCCCTCACATTTACAGTCAATTGATTTTTGAAAAGAGTGCCAAGACCATTCAATGGGGCCAGAATAGTCTTTTCAACAAATAGTGCTGGGACAACTGGATATCCACATGCAAAGAATAAATCTGTAACCTACCTCATACCATACATGAAAATTAACTTAAAATAGATCAAAAACCTAAATGTAAGAGCTAAAAATATAAAACTCTTAAAAGAAAACATAAGCGGGGCTGGCCCAGTGGTGTAGTGGTTAAGTTTGCACATGCTGCTTCGGCGGCCTGGAGTTTGCAGGCTCAGATCCCGGACGTGGACCTACCCACCACTTATCAAGCCATGCTGTGGCAGGCGTCCCACATATAAAGTAAAGGAAGATGGGCATGGATGTTAGCCCAGGGCCAATCTTCCTCAGCAAAAAGAGGAGGATTGGCAACAGATGTTAGCTCAGGGCTAACTTTCCTCACCAAAAAAAAAAAAAGGAAGAAGAAGAAAACATAAGCATAAATAATCTTGGATTTGGCAATAGATACTTGGATACAATACCAAAAGCACAGGTAACCAAAGAAAACATAAATTGGAGTTCATCATAATTAAAAACCTTTGTGCTTCAAAGGACATCATCAGGAAAGTGAGGAGACAACCCACTGAATGGGAGAGAACATTTGCAAATCATATACTTGAAAAGGAACTTAAAATAGAATATATAAAGAACTCTTACAACAAAATAACATAAAAATAAATCAATTAAAAACTGGACAAATGATCTGAATAGACATTTCTCCAAAGAAGATCTACAAATGGCCAATAAATACATGCAAAGATGCTCAACACCATTAGTCATTAGGGAAATGCAAATAAAAACAATGAGATACCCCTTTATACCCACTAGGATGGGTAAAATCAAAAGGACAGCCAATAAAAAGTGTTGCTGAGGATGTGGAAAAATTGGAACCATCACACATTGCTGGTGGGAATGTAGAATGGTGCAGCCACTTGGGAAAACAGTTTGGAAGTTTCTCAAACTGTTAAACATTGAGCTACCATATGACCAGCAATTCTACTCCTAGGTACATACCCAAGAGAACTGAAAACATTTGTTTACACAATAACTTGTATATGAATGTTCATAGCAGTTCATATTGTTCACAATAGTAAAAAAGTAGAAACAATCCAAATGTCCATTGATTGATGAATGGATGAATACAATGTGGCATATTCATAAAATGGAATATTATTCAGCAATAAAAAGGAATGAAGTTCTGATTCATGCTACAACATGGATGAACTTTGAAAACATTATGCTGAGTGAAATAAGTCAGACAAAAAGACTCCATATTGTCTGATTATATTTATATAAAACGTCCAGAATAGCCCAAATCTATAGAGACAGAAAGTAGATTAGTGATTGCCTAGGGCTGGAGAGGTAGTGGGTAGAGGAGGGACTCAATCAGTTTCTGGGCGGGGTGGGGGGATGAAAATGTTATTGATTGTGGTAATGGTTGTACAGCTCTGTGAATATACTAAAAACTATTGAATTATACGCTTTAAACTGGTAAATTGTGTGGTATATGAATTATATCTCAATAAAGCTGCTGTTTTTAAAAAATGATCCAGGAAAACAGTTTGGCATGTCCTCAAAAAGTTAAACGTAGAATTATCATATGACCTGCAGTTCCACTCCTAGGTATATACTCAAAAGAATTGAAAACAGGGACTCAAACAAGTACACATACACACATGTTCATAGCAGAACTATTCACAGTAACCAAAAAGGTGGAAAAAACCCAAATGTCCATCAACAAATGAATGGAAAAACAAAATGTAGTATAAACAATAATGGAATACTATTCAGTCTTAAAAAAGAACAAAGTACTGATACATGCTACAACATGGATAAACTTCAAAAACATGATGCTAAGTGAAAGAAGCCAGACACAAAAGGTCACATTGTGTATGATTCCATTTACATGATAGGTCCAGAACAGATAAATTCATACAGACAGAATACAGATTGGTGGTTGCCAAGGGTTGGGAAGAGAGGGAAATAGGGAGAAAGTGCTTAATACATAAGGGGCTTTACTTTGGAATGAGGAAATGTTTTGGAACTAGATAGATGTGGTGGTTACACAACATTGTGAATGTACCAAACACTACTGAATTGTTCCCTTTAAAATGGTTAATTCTATGTTATGTGAATTTCACCTCAATCAATTATTTAAAAGAAAAAGCAATTCAAAAAATCTAAGCTAATATTTCCATTTCCATGCAACATGTTAAAAGTTGAAAAATATTTCCAAAAGAGAGAATTAACTTTTACAAGTTGGGCTTGGCCTTTTTTAACCTAGGAAATTTGGCTAAATTTAAAGAACTCTGGGTAGTCTCAGACATAAAAAGATAATTACTCTCTTGACTCTTACTACTATGGAATTAGTTCAGCTGGAGCTTCTGAAAAATTTATTTCATGACGTGCTTACAGATATGAAAGAGTTAGTGCATCTCCCGTGTCTCTACTGTCAGAGATTAGCTTGCTAACTCACCAGCACAAGTCAGCTGGGAGGGAGAACAGCATTTGCTTCCCAAAGGAAAACATCCCACACTAATTAGTATAGAATACTCTGCATCCTAAACTCTCCATCTTAAGCCTGAGAAACTTCCAAAACCAAGATGTGGAATAGAAATTGGGAAAATTATCTCTAACCTAGATAACAAAGGAACGGAGTTTAGGAGCAAATTATTCACATAATTGTCCTAGTTTATTTGTTTGTTTTTATTTTAATTTGCTTGTGGAAACTATGTCCCTTAAACACTCAAGTAAGTTTCATCTAGATTCTAGTAGCTATGAGAAAGAACCTCAGTACAAAATAAACAAAGGAAATATTATAAGCCTCTAATTATATGGGGGTAGTAGGGGGCATGTCATCCATTTAGAACAACACGCTTTTTGGCAAACAGATGATCTAGCATTTCCCAAATTCTACCTAGAATATTCTAAAAACATGAGGCAAATCTAATGAAGTTCTGTGTTGAAAAGCTATAAAAAATAATCTGATCATTGAGTTATAAAATCTAATAAAAATTCAATGATGCTACTAAATGTGACATAGGTATGGATACATCTATTTATAAGTGTACTGAATAAATAGACATAAATGTACAGAGGCTTTCTGGTTCCCTGCCACTGAGTTTTAAATTGAGATTTTATATTGGTACATTTTCAACCAAAATCAAATCAAACATAAAATATCTCTTAGATAATACTTTATGGTACATCATAAATTCAAAGCTACATCTTCCTAAAGGTAGTTTCCCATGTTACCCTAATATTTCACCTTCAGTTAAAGTGATGTTGCCTTGTGCAAAATCACAGAGGGCAGCTTGAGCACCACGTGAGTGAATGAGAAAGGGGGAGAGGGTGAATCCAGCTCACTCTGCCCTTTTCATTCATAGACAGGCATGATCCTAGCACTCACCTCTCTCAGATTTCCTGTCTTTCACTGAAGATGTACCACAGCCCATGTCTTCTCAATTGTGTGTTTGTGAATTCAACTTCTCATTCCAAGACAGAGCGAGCAAAGTGCCTCCCTTTATGCTGTGAGGAGCCACTCGTGGCTGATCCCCTTCAGTCATAGATCCTGATGAGGAAGACACAGGAGGGAGAGAGGAAAGCGTCCGTTAACACGGTATCTGAGGACTGCTCAGCAGGATTCATCTTATGCTTCTTCTCAACTGCTGTTCATCATGTGATGTAGAAAGTGATCAGACATAATCTAATCCTGGTTTATTTTCCAAAACACAGCAGCAGCAACAGAGCAGCTATCGATTGCTTCTCTGCTACACATGAGTTATATTTTCCCCGTGTCTAGGTCAGATCAAGATCTGTATAAAATAAAGCATTAAAAATGAAAAGAAAAATGGAAATGTAAGAGCTTACAATTTTCTAATTGAAATACAGGGAATGGGATATGGAGCATCTGATATAATTTAACTGTTTTTGTTTTAAGCTCAAAATAATTAAATCTATCTGGGCTTTTAAAAACACAAATTGGAGGCTGACTTTCTATGAAACAAAAACAACATATTTAAACAACTATGCCAAAATTAAAATTAAAGTGAGTTCTTTGACCATATTTCTCAGAATCAGTTGGGATGCTTGTTTTAAGAAAAAGAAGCTCAAGGCCTCCCCCCAGACTAAGGCATCAGAATGTGTGAGAGTGCCTTTTTAAACAAGTTCTCCAAGTGTTTCTGAGGCCCCTCCGAAGTCTACCCTCATGCTTACCAGGCCTTCTGATGAGTTCTCTGCAACTGCTAAATTGGATCTCCCACAATCACTCCATGGGAGTTCTCAACACAATTCCTTTCCATAGTATCCCACCTCATTGCTTTTTTGGGTGATGTTTCCTTTATTTTGTGATGCTCCAAACCAGCCCGATCTAATCTATTTGCATTTCTTGACAGGAACAAAGTCAGAGACCAACTGACTCAGGACCCTACTAGCCATGTCTATTTTTCCATTAGAACTACACTAAAAGCTTCAAAATTTCGACTCAAAGTGAGGGGCAAAATAAAATGAGCAAAGTATCTGAATTATGGAAATATTTTTAAAACAATAATAACCTTAAAAAACAGATATTCTAATATCTGTTAATATCTAATATCTAATCAGATATTGTAATCAGGCCTGATTCTTTTACGTATTGAATTAACTAACCCTCCAAAACTTTGGATTATTTCCAAATTTGATAGGCATTTCTTTCATATCTTTCTTATCCACATCACGGATAAAAAATGTTAACAAGGTCAGCAACTAGGGCAGAACAACTCTTGTGGCATTCCACTCCAGACCATTCTTTAGGGCTACTACAGATCCATTACATTCACACTCTCTAAGCATATTTGTTCAGTTAGGTGGTAAATTTACCCATCATAACTATCATCTTATTTATCTATGAGACATCCTAGAAATTTTGCTAAATATTTTAATGAAATTAAGGTATATAATTTGACACCTTGACATTCCAGCCTATCCTAGCAGCAGAAGAAGAAGAAAAAGAAGAGGAAGAGGAGAAGGAAGGAGTGAGGGAGGAAGGAAAAGAGGGAAGGAAGGAAGGAGAAGGAAGAAGAGAGGAAGAACGAAAGGAAGGAAATCAGTTTGGCATGATTTTTAATAACAGAATCATAGAAGTTTAAACATGGGAGACACCTTTAAAGTTACCTAGAATTTACACAAAGTGCAAGGAAGTTAAGCAACTTGCCTAATGTCATATAGACATTCGTCGCATATTAGCATCACCAGGGGAGCTTTTAAAACTCCCAGTACTCAAAAAGCACCTCATTAAATCAGAATCTTTGGAGGTTTAAAAAATACTGATGCCTGGGTCCCATCCCCAGAGATTCTGATATAATAGGTATTGAGTAGGGGTTGGGCATCAAGATTTTTTTAAAGCTCCCCAGATGATTCTAATGCACAACAAAGTTTGACAACCTCTAACAGAGACAATGTTTTAGCAAACCCATGATGATGCCTAATGACCATCCGATTTTCCTCTAACTGCTCTGACTCCATTTGTTTGGAACAGAATTTTTCCAGAGGTCATGTCAGGGTTATAAGGCTGTGGCTTCTGGCATCTACTCTTTTGTCATTTTTGAGAATGAGAAACTATTTACCCATCACCTGCCTTCTCTCCATATTCAGAAATTTCTCAAAGGTTATCTGCAGTGCCTATGAGAACACATCTGCCGGGTTCTTCATCACCCTTTGAAGTAGTTCATCTACTTCTAGTGACCTTCTCCAAGTGCCTAGATTAGTGCTCTCCAATATAAATAGCACAAGACTTATCAGGGCAGCTTATTTAAAAAAAATGCAGACTCCTAATGCAGACTGCCAATACTTGGATTCAAGAAGTCCGGGAGGCCTGGGAATCTGCAATTAAAGTGCACCCTTCAGGGGACTTTGACGCAGGCACTCCCTGTATCTCAGTTTGAGAAACATTGCTCTCCATATCTCCCTTGGGCTTCACTTCCATCTTTATGCTATTTTTTCTACCCCTTTTTATCAGTACGCAAGAGTTGGGCATTGAGTAAGCAACAAACACTGACTCAACAATAAGAAGTGATATGCAGATGGTTCCCAACTTAAAACGGTCGACTCATGATTTTTCGACTTTACCATGGTGCGAAAGCAATATGCATTCAGTAGAAACTCGACTTCGAATTTTGAATTTGATCTTCTCCTGGGCTAGAAACATGTGGTCTGATCCTCCCTCATGATGCTGGGCAGTGGCAGTGAGCTGCAGCTCCCAGTCAGCCCGGCGATCATGAGGGTAAACAACCGATACACCTACAACCATTCCGTCCCCATACAACCATTCTGTTTTTCATTTTCAGTACAGTAGTCAATCAATTACATGAGCTATTCAATACTTTACTATAAAACAGGCTTTGTGTTGGATGATTTTGCCCAACTGCAGGCTAATGTAACATGTCTGAGCTCCTTTAAGGTAGGCTAGGCTAAGCTATGAGGTTTGGTAGGTTAGGTATATTAAATGCATTTTCAATTTACAATATTTTCAACTTACAATGGGTTTATTGGGATGTAACCCCATTGTAAGTCAAGGAAGATCTGTATTTCAATCACGATTTTCTTTTTCCAGAAAATAAATAAATACAGTAATATCTCTCCAAGGGCATTTGGTTCTCAGCCACCTCTTAGTTAATTCACTACACAACAAACCAAATTCCATTAAAAAGATTCACTAGGAACTAAAAAGTATCAAACTTGAGTATATTTCTGCTAGACTGTAAGCTCTACACGTATCTTTCTTTCTAAATACTCCTTGAATCTCTGCCACCTACACAGTGCCTTTCACATAGCAGGTGTTTGATAAATGCTAAATGAATGAATGAATAAAAGAATGAATATTTCTAAGCCAGAGTCTTTTTTAAAATTGATAAAAGTCATTATTCATCCATCGTTTTGTGCAGATACATACCACTTGATTATACAAAAGCCTTTTATTAAACCAGAAAATGGGTAGTACCTATACACCCATTTTTAAAGAAAAGTTTTAAATCATGATGGAAAGAAATGAGAATTGTTCTAGAACTCTTTGGTTATTAGAAAAAATAATTTGCTGTTAGAATTTTTACATGATTAAGTAATTATTATTAAGCAACTTATTTTTAAACTGTTTTTCTCCCTCAGGTAACAGGTAAAAAAAAAAAAAACAAGTACTCATTTTAATTCTTGCCAAAACAAGAGCTGGCTAAGGCCAGGTGCCATTTACCACTCCGACAACTGCCCAACCTAGACTGTAATCACCTACTTAAGGGCAGTGAGGGAAGCGAATTTTTACACGTGTATGTGCCTTTGAGGACATCTCTGGCTGCTGCAAAGCTGATAAAAATGATTTGGAGATTTTCCATTATTGGGAAAAATCTAACCTTCTTCCATTTCCCGCCCTCTGTCAGCATTAGAAAAGCACTTAGCATGCTAAAGAACTCTCTGAAGAAATGATTCCCTGGGGCCTGGAAGGGGTTCTCCAGCCCAAGATGTGGGGAGTTTCTGCAGCGTTCACAAAGACCCAAGAGTGCTATAGTCAGTGACACGAACCACTGAAAAGGTGGATCTTGGCAAAAAACAGCTTGAAACTTGCCCAGTGCTGCTGCCCCTACCAATATATACCAAGGATGGTTTTAAAGCATAAACATAAAATAGTGACTCATCATTGGCACTCACTCCTAATCTGCAAAAGGAAAGGTTTCTAAGACTTCTGCTAAAAGGTTTTTACTGCGTGTGTGTCAGGGGCTAAGTGGGGAGAACTGGAGGGTGGAACTGTTTGATGATGTTCAGTTCTTTTCATCCTAACCACTTTGCATTTCCCAAGGTGAAAACACAAGGAAAGAACAAAAGATGGCCTTTGGAGCCTCCCCAAGTGGTTCTTATTCATTCTTAACTTTATTTTATTTCAAAGTGCATCTCGAACTCCCACAGGGCTCAGCCACCTTGACCTTGATTCCACCTCTGGTATTCTAGATGTGAATTGTGTGGCTTCCCACCTTAGAAACTCAGCTTTTCCTCAAGATGCTGGCTTTTGTGAGAAATTCCTACTCTAGCTCTAGCCCTGAGGAACCCAAATCTAGAACCCATAGCCATTCAACTGGCACACACCCCAGCTCTCAAAGTGGGAGTTAGGTAGGCAGGTCTAATTCTTCCCCGTTGGCCTGTGTAGACAAGGGCATGGAGAACAGTTACCTCTTCAGGCTCACCCTGCTACATTCTCTTTGGTATTCATCAAAACAAGGGTCACAGAGCCTGATGTCTGTGGCCTAAATATAACTAAGGGGCACAGAGAGGGGTAGAGGAGTCCCCGGCAGACGGCACTAAAAAGGCCCCTTCCACCACCACCTTTCCAGTAGAACACTGTAGCATTTGCTTGTGTCTGGGGTCTTAAATGAATAAGAAGAGTCTGTAAGACTGAACTGGTGACTCTTCCTGGATCTCATGAGATGAAAGGATAAGAAAAGGGAGGGAACTACCTACCACCAGAAGGTGTCTGAGGGTATCTGTTGTTATATCAGACAGGATGGTAATCAGCAGGCAGCTTAGCCTGGTGCCAGGTTTTCCAAAGTCTGTTTGTGGAAGAGTAGTTCTATGTGGTTTATGATTCTAGGAATAAGGCAAAAAAGGTCCCACCAACAAACAAGTTCAGGAGAAGCAGGATTAAACAGGTTTCTTTACTGCAGGATTCCTCAGAGCCTTCAATATGTTAATATGTGTCTCTAATATGAATCTCTAAGAAAGAGCTATGGTGTCCACTGTTTCCCAAACAGCCTAGCAGGGGACCCTTTTGAGGTAAAGCATCTCAAGAACATCTATTGTTCCTAACCGCCTAATGCTGGCGCAGTGGAGCCCGGGGTTTAGAAGTCAGACCGGAGTTTAAATTCTTCTCAGCTAGTCATTAATTCCTCTGCACCTCGGTTTTCTCATAAGAAAATAGGATGGGGGCCAGCCTGGTGGCATAGCGGTTAAGTTCACACACTCTGCTTTGGTGCCCCAGGGTTCACAGGTTCGGATCCTGGGAGCGGACCTACACACCGCTCATCAAGCCATGCTGAGGTGGTGTCCCATATACAGCAACCAGAGGGATGTACAACCATGACATACAACTATCTACTGGGGCTTTGGGGAGAAAAAAGGAAAAAAAGGAGGAAGATTGGCAACAGATGTTAGCTCAGGGCCAATCTTCCTCAAAAAAAAAAAGAAAGAAAGAAAATAGGGATAATAACGCATACCTTACTTGTACTGAGGACTAACGAGGTGGAAAAAACCAACTTGAACAAAGAGCAATTCTCAGCAGATGAGTTAGAAGGGGCCATGCATGCGCGGATACCCACTGTGGTAGAAGATTGAAACGAAACCTGTGTTTGCTCAAGTCTCTTCCTTCAGAAGGCGTTGTCTGGGCCCTCCCAGAGACGAAACCCCTTGGGTATCTACCGGTTCCGGGATAATTGTAGATTCACAAAGAAATGGACTCTTTTCCCCTGAGAGCACTAACATCTGAAAGAATGTTATACCAGTAATAATAATAATAGGGCAAATCACTAGTATTTATTAAAGGACTACATTTACCCACACAATGGGTGCTTTATATTTCTATTATTCTAGTTAATCTTCACAGCAACCTTCAAGGTGGTATCATCACTCCCATATTACAGATGAAGAAACTGAGACTCAGAAATTAAATAGCCTACTCCATGGCATAGCTGATCAGTGACAGAACTACAGACCCACTCTGTTTAATGATTAAAGAACGAAAATGTCCATCCACTAAAAGGTTAGCTATGCCTTTGTTTCAGGATCCAATCTGATCAATCTGTGTAAGCACTAAATCACTAAAGAGAATTCTTGAACACTGCAAGGAATTTTGTTTCCCTTTCGTACAGATAGATGGAAACCCTGTGGTCCTCTAAGACAGCAAGAGGCCAAAGGAGCTAAAAGAAGACTTCTGAACATGAAGTTGTATAGTGGGGTTTGGGGAAGGCCCCATGAAGGGCCTAGAAGGGTTTCTCAAAGTATCCTTTCCCTCATTTTCTAGCTCTCACCCAAGTAACCACAGAGTTTTTCCAAATATCGAGTTCATTTGGAATAGGCCACAACCCTTCGGATTGCAAAGTCATCTGTACCTTTTTAAGATGATGACAACTAATTTGCAATCAGCATCTGTGAGAAAAATCATTCCAAGAAATTGCAAAGCAATAAAATAAACTCCAAGGAGTGCATGTTCCCTGTTCCGTTGCTACACAATGTATGTTTATAATGTAGACTTCTGCTTGCCCAAAATACCTGAGAAGAAATAAATGTATTACCTGTTTCTTCTGCTTGGCCAATGCAGAGGTTGTTCCTCACTCCAGGTGTTTCAAGAGAAACAAAAACGAGAAAAAACCTTCTCTATGAGGGATGCAGAGGTCTGAAAGAGAAGAAGTACAATTCTAGCTCTCTCTGGAGCACCACCCCTACACACACACACTCCACACATCTCATATCTCTGCAGTTCTCTGCAGAGAGAGCTCTTGCTTAAATGAATCAAGAAATAAATACACACAAGCACACAAAGAAATAACTCGAACGTGCCACAGCTGCTTTGCCTTTCAGCCTGGAAGGCGAGCCCAGAGCAGCAGATCTGGGAGAGGCTGGGCTGGGCAGTGAGCCGCAGCTGTCTGCCCCAACCCTGCCCTATTCCAGGCTAGGAGATAAACGGATGCTCTCAAGTGATGGGCTGTGGTCACATGACTGCTTCCAAGGGGACCAGGCTCTGTACAGGCAGGACCAGGCCGATGTTTGCATAAATAATCTGCATCAGTACAAAATACAAAATGAATTTTGGTAAATAAGAGCAGGAAAGCATTCAGTGGCTGACTCTTTAGGTCAACCGAGGATGATTTTTAGGAAACATTACAGTAACCTGGGTATGATTAAGAGAAGGAAGTGGAAAAACAAAACATTCCTCTTTAGGACTTGAAAAGGCACGGGTTTAAGGGAGCAGCTGTTGGGTGCTGTGCTGCAAATTTATTTATATGCCGTTTTTATTCCTCCAGCCATTCAATTAGCTGCTTGTTGGAGAACCTGTCTGTGAAAGGGAGATTCATCTCTCTTCATCAGCAGAAAGGAAAAGGAAAGCTGACCTGTAATTTTGCTGAGTTTGAAAAGGAAGAGGAGGAAGACATTTGAAAAATCGAAGTGCCAATGTCGGTACTGGATGCCACCAGCCACAGTTCTGCTGTCTTTCGAGGCAATCCAGAGGTGATCTTGTTCCCAGAGTTTCACGTTGACTGCAGCTACACTGGCAGCAATTTTCCTCCCAAACTCTTCCTAGCTGGTTACACAGCATATGTGTTTTCGAGCTTACTGGCCTTAGGCATCTCAAGCTGGGATTTGAAGAACTCCAGCCATAGTCATTTCATAACCCCACCCAAGCTGCTCTTTAGCCAATTCCTTTCTGCAATTGAGAACCACAGGAGATCCAGTAAAGTGGTTACCTAGCTTGCTATTTAATCTAATGGAATCACTTTAAAAATAACTGGAAAGGCAGCTCTGGGCTTCTGTACTCCTATTAGCATATTAAATATTATCAGAGGGCCTCATTATGAGGCAATACAACCATACAGCTTTCCATGGTAGGGACTCCAAGACTAGGACCTGATAAGGCTGCCATACACATTGTAAATGATAGCATAACTACCCAGGCTCCTGAAAAATAGTGGACAATGTAGCTATACGGCTGGGTTTCCGGCCAAATGCCTAGTCAGTCCACAGTGATGGCTGTCTAGACACAGTTGTTCAAATGTCACCTCCTCTGTGTGAAGCCTTTCCTGAATCACCAAAGGGGAGGTAGTCATTCTGTCTTCTGGCTCTCAAAGCCATGTGTGTGTCCAATTATAGAGCTTCCCAAAGTGCACTGTAATTTGTCCTTTTACATATGAAATCCCAAAGGAAAAGGATCCATTTCATTCCTCTTGGCACCCCCAGCACCAAATGCATAAGAGGTACTCACCAAATATTTGTTTAATCACAGAAAGAAAGGAAAGGAGGGAAAGAACTCATGATTTAGGTGGTTGTTATAATGGTCAGTCTCCGGATCATGAATTGGATTGGTTGTGCCCTTTATATGACTTGTCTAAAATTTAGAATTTGCTTAAAAGGAAGAACTTCACCGTATTTTTCCATTGTACAAAGAAAACTAAAATGTTACTTTGAGCACCACAAAGAGTCCTATAGCCAGCCTCTAATTGCTAAATGAACCAGCACTGATATATGTGTATACATCACAACAACGATAATAACATTTATTGAGCACTTACTGTGTTGTAGGCACTTGTCAATTTTACATGTGTTGATCTTATTTATTTATTTATTTATTTATTTATTTATTTATTTATTTCGTGAGGAAGATCAGCCCTGAGCTAACATCCATGCTAATCCTCCTCTTTTTGCTGAGCAAGACCAGCTCTGAGCTAACATCTATTGCCAATCCTCCTCCTTTTTTTCCCCAAATCCCCACTAGATAGTGGTATGTCATAGTTGCACATCCTTCTAGTTGCTGTATGTGGGACGTGGCCTCAGCATGGCAGGAGAAGCAGTGCGTCAGTGTGCGCCGAGGATCCGAACCTGGGCCGCCAACAGCGGAGTGCGTGGACTTAACCGCTAAGCCACAGGGCCGGCCCTGTTAATCTTATTTAATCCACACATCATCCTGTGAGGTACAGTAGTCCCCCCTTATCCAAAGTTTCACTTTCCACGGTTTCAGTTACCCGCAGTCAACCGCTGTCCAAAAATATTAAATGGAAAATTCCAGAAATAAAAAATTCATAAGTTTTAAATTGCATGCTGTTCTGAGTAGCGTGATGAAATCTTGTCTCGTTCCGCTCTGTCTTGCTTGAGACATGACTCATCTCTTTGTCCAGCAGATCCACGCTGTATCCGTGACCCGCCCGTTAGTCACTTAGCTGTCTGGGTTATCAAATCGACTATCATAGTATTGCAGTGCTTGTGTTCAAGTCACCCTTATTTTACTTAGTAATGGCCCCAAAGCACAAGAGTAGTGATGCTGGCAATTTGGACATGCCAAAGACAAGCCATAAAGTGCTTCCTTTAAGTGAAAAGGTAAAAGCTCTCGACTTAATAAGGAAAGAAAAAAATGGTACACTGAGGTGGCTAGGATCTATGGTAAATTTTACTACAGTATATTGTTGTAATTCTTCCATTTTATTATTAGTTACTGTTGTTAATCTCTTACTGTGCCTAATTTATAAATTAAACTTTATCATAGGTATGTATGTATAAGAATAAACATAGCATATACAGGGCTCAGTACTATCCACAGTTTCAGGCATCCACTGGGGGTCTTGGAAGGTATCCCCTGCAGATAAGGGGGGACTAGTGAATACTATTATTATCCCTCTTCACGCGTTAGGAACTACAGCCCAACGTCAAACAGCAAATGAGTGGTAGAGCAGGAGTTTGAACTCAGACACTTTGACTCTAGAACCCCTACTTATGATCATTACACTATGTTGTCTTGGTCAGCACCTTGTGTGGTTGCAAAATGAAAGTTCCAGCCTCTTCTCAGATATTCTCTGGCTTTCTTCCAGCTAAGCAGGGATGTGTTCTCTCAGCCTGAAAAAAGAAAAAATAAAGGGCAATGTAATGTTAACAGTTCTAAACTCACTGATTAACAGACTTATCCCCCTAACAGTCAAGGTGGGTCAATTTATATCTCAATGGGCACACCATCGGATGAAAACAGCCAAAAGGAAAGGTGAGAGTTCACCTTCCCCCTCGGAGAAGGCCATGGCGACACCAAGTCCTCCTTAGCTAAGAGGTCTTGTGCTTTTCTATTCAATTCAATACCTCTTTACTGAGCACTCCCTATGTGGGAGGCACTGTGCTGAGGGACAGGGACAGAAAGTGTGAACAAAATGGACACGACCTGGGGCAAACACACAGGTAAATAAGAAATTAAAATCAAATTACAAATTAAAATCTGTCTCCCCTATTGGAATATAAGCTCCAGGTACCTAAAACAGTGCCAGACACATCATAGATATTTATTAAATGAATAAATGAAAGCAATACAGTATGACAAAATCTCTAATAGGACAGATAGGGGGTGCAGAGAAAGAGCCCTATGCCAGAAAGGGGGATGAAGGAAGGCTTTCTAGAAGAACTGATGCCCCAGCTGAGACCTGAGGATTGTGCAGCAAGAAGTTAGGAGTTAACCAGAAGAAAAGAGGTGAGGGAGGGAAGAGGGTGTTCTTGTAGAAACGTAGATTTTACAGTACTTAACAAGGATGTGAAAGGGGAGAGGTGAAATAAAAATCAAAACAAACTGAGTTCCTAATTATAATGCTGCAATTAGACTTATAAGTGGGTAGAGAAAAGTGCCCGTCTGCTGTGATTGAAAAATGGCAGCCTCTCCACCTCTGCAGGCTGGACTTACTCTTTCTTGGCTGCTTTGGCTGTCTTTCTTTCCTTTCTCACTTCCCCACTCCCCTACTGGGTTTGCTTTCACCCTCCAAATAAACTTACTGTCAAATGCTTGTCTCAGTGTCTGCTTCTGAGGGAACCCAAACCAGGACACTCAGTTAGTCTATGGTAGTAGCAAGCTATAGAAAGGCAGAGGGGAATGGAGAAGGCTGGTTGGGCATTGCAGGCAAACCTCTCCTGTTTCACAAGCTTCCTGGAGCTGGCCACAGCTCCAGTTTCTCCCAAGGAGAAGTAATTCTAACAGGCAGCTCCTACACACACTGGGGAGTATGCTAGAATCTAGGCAAAGCAGCTGGATTTGGGAATAGACTGACAAAAAAATGATGTGTGCAGATCTGTTGGGTGGTGAGTACTTAAGGTGTCTGTCCACTCATGGTCCCTGATACATCAATGCCCAATAGCACCAAAGTGAGGAAGCTCGCACGGGGCTGGCCTCCCAGCTCTGGCAACTCTCAGCCAGCCTTCCAGTGCTGGGCCCAGTGGTAAGCAATCACACCTAGTCCCGGCTTCCTAACACCTAGTAGTCTCTAAATGGGGGTACCTGCCCCACAGCAGATGCACAGAAGATCTGTGGGACAGTAGAAAGCAAAATATTAGAACTCATATTTTTATCTATTTTCTTAATCTTTTCAAATTTTCTAATTTCAGGTATGTTTGGTAATGTACACAGTATATGAGTTCAGTAGTATTAGTCGTAAATAAATAAATATACCTGTATTAGGGGTCCATTCTCAAAAAGCTTTTACTGTGAGAGGTTCATGATCAAAAACATTTGAAGAACCTTGATTTAAAGGGCCTGCTTCCTTTTGAACAGAGGTAAGGAATACCAAGGAATTTTACATCTCCATAAAGAGAAAGGATCAAGCATATTTTCAGGGATGAGTTCTGGGTATTGAAAAACCACATTAAGTAGGAGAAAAGAGAGGCCAGATTTGGCAAGTCATTAGAAAGTCATTAAAAGAAATCAAAGGTGGGTTACAAGTCACTATCAGGTGAAAGAAATTCATAAAGGCCAGTGCTGGCCAGATGTGTCTGTTGGGGTCACCTGGTCAGCAGCCACAATGACAGGCTGAAACAGCTGTCACGTGTTGAAGTTTATACGTTCGGCTTTGAAAAGGCTCCATCCTGGGTACAAAAGTTGAGCTTTCCATGGTTGTGATCTCATAAATAGAAGATTAGTAGATAGCAGAATTTAAATTTTGACCACTGCTTAATCTAACCCTAGCTTGGTCCTAGATGGCTTGAGTTAAAAAAAATAAAATAAAATAAAATTCTCCTTAAATTAACCCTGAATGTTCATAAATCAAATCAAAAGCTTCACAGAGAGTTCCAGTCTGGGTAAGATGGAATAAGGACAGTCTACCCGCTGTACCCTGTCTCTCCCATTGAATGAAGCCACAAATCCCGGAGAGAATCCAGGGAGCACTGCGGCAGGCAGACACCAAGATGGTCCCCAACGATCCCCGCCTCCTGGTATTCATGCCCTTGTGTTATCCCCTCCCTTTCAGTGTAAGGCTGGACCTCGTGACTGACTTCTAATCAACAGAATATGGCAAAGGTATTTGGGATGTCACTTCTGTGACTAGGTTATAAAAGATTGTGACTTTCTGTCTTGCTAGCAGACTCTCTCTATTGCCTTTGTAAATTGTGTGCTTTTGATAAAGCAAGCCGCCATGTTGGAGAGGCCCACATGGCACAGGACTGAGGAAAGTCTCTGGCCAAAAGCCAGCAAGGAACTGAGGCCCTCAGTCAAACAGACGTCAAGGAACTGAATCCTGCCCACAACCCTGTGAGCCTGGAAGTGGATCTTTCCCCAGTTAAGCCTTAAGATGCCTGCAGCCCAGCCAACATGTCGACTGCAACAGCTTGTGAGAGATCCTGAAGTAGAGGACCCAGGTAAGACATGCCCAGATTCCTGACTCACAGAAGCTGTGAGATCATATCTATCTGTTTTAAGCCTCTAAATTTTTTAGTAATTTGTTACACGGCAATAAATAAGTAACACAAGGACTCTGAAAAGTAAATAGCAAAAAACAGAATGAGGAAGAAGATCAGAGTTTGAAGTACCACCAAACTGGTGGTGAGTTGACCATTTTTTCCATCCAGTTCCCCCAGACTGGATTCAAGGAAGCAGAAATTCAAATTAAAACCAAAATGAGATAGGGGCCGGCCCAGTGGCGCAAGCGGTTAGGTGCGCGCGCTCTGCTGCGGCGGCCCGGGGTTCGCTGGTTCGGATCCCGGGTGCGCACCGACGCACTGCTTGGCAAGCCATGCTGTGGCGGCGTCCCATATAAAGTGGAGGAAGATGGGCACAGATGTTAGCCCAGGGCCGTCTTCCTCAGCAAAAAAAAAAAAAAAAAGAGGAGGATTGGCGGATGTTAGCACAGGGCTGATCTCCCCACAAAAAAAAAAAAAAAACCAAAATGAGATAATACTGCACACCTATTAGAATGGTTTAAAAAAAATTCTAATAATACCCAGTGCTGGTTAGGATGTGGAGTAACTAAAACTCTCACACTTCGCTGGTGGGAATGCAAAATGGTACAGCCACTCTGAAAAATAGTTTGGTAGTTTCTTATAAAGCTGAACATACACTTACCATATGACACAGCAATCCTACCCCTGGGTATTTACTTTAGAGAAATGAAAGCCTATATTCACACAAAAACCTGTACACAGGTTCATGTGGTCAAATACTGAAAACAGCCCAAATGTCCTTCAATGGGTGAATGGATACACAAACTGTAGGACATCCATACAATGGAATACTATTTAGCAATAAAAAGGAACAAACTATTGATACACACAACCTGGATAAATCTCAAAGGCATTATGCTGAGTGAAAGAAGCCGGATTTAAAAGGCCGCATACATTTATATGACATTCTTGAAAAGACAAAACTATGATGATGGAGAACTGATCAGTGGTTGCCAGGGTTTATGGGTGGGGGAGGGTATGACTACAAAGGGACAGCAAGAGGGAGTTTTGGGGGCAATGTTCTGTATCCTGAATAAGGTGGTGGTTATACTAATCTCCAAGTGTCAAAATCCACAGAACTGTAAAACAGGTCGATTTTACTGTACACTAATTTAAAAATAAATTTTTAAAAAAGCTTCAGAGCTGGCTCTGGTTTAGTGCCTTTGGGTCTGCAGATATTAAGTCCCCATGGGCTGACTTTGACTGCCAAGGGCATTCCTAAATCACAACCAGAAGCAGTGTCTTCTGCTGTAAACTCTGAGCACTAAGGAAAACACTTACGCTTCTCTCTGACTTCACTTTTAGCTCTCCATCCACGGGCACAACTCAAAAAACAGAGATCCCAGTCAGGAAACGCACCCCATCCATTCTTTACTCAACAAGTACTTACTGAGCATGTTCTAGCGACGAGGCAGGGTACAAAGATGAACACATTCTGATTCATTTCCCTACTAGCTTCACAGTGTAATGAGGGAAACGGACCTGTCCACAATAATTTCAAGACAGGAGGTGTAGGTAAAGAGATATGCCCACGTTCTTTTAGAGTCCAGAAGGATATCAGCTCTGCTAGGGCAAGTCGAGTAATGTTTCATAGAGCATGAAAGGTGGGGAAAGGCATTCTGGGGAACACGGGAGCATGCTATATTTGAGTGATGTTTCCTGAGACTGGGAGATAGAGGGTGTATAGAGTGGAGGATGGGGACGTGAACCTGGAGAGGTAGACTGGTGCCAACTGTGATCATTCCTGTAAATCACAACGAAGAATTCAGACTTGAAGCTGTCAGTCAGGGATTGCAATTTCAAATGCTTACATGGGCTGGGACAGATAATATAAATGCATAAAGCAGCCTGGGTGGAAACGATGGGACATTCTGGAGAGATTCTGTCTACATGAGGCAGATGCTACTTACCGGTAGCTCCCTCTTGGGCTGCCATCCAAAAATCCTGGCCCAGTGTTGCCCGATGTAATTTTTCAAGAGAAGCTGAACATATTTTTATGGAAAATCTCCCTATTTTTAAATGTCAGTATGAGTATATTTCTGCAAATTTGAAGATGCCGTCGATTTCAAGGAGCATCATTATTTTATGTACCAATAAGAAAGAAAAAAGCCACCCATCAAACTATGACACTCCATCGATTTTAAGACACATTC